GCTGTCTAACTCCCAGTTACCTATTTACTGCTAGGTGAACAGGTGCATCAGTGTGAAAGAAACTGCCCAATTGTTTCCGCCTCCACCGGGGATCGAACCCGGAACCTTAGGAATACGAATCCTGAGCGCTGTCCACTCAGCTGTCAGGTCCCTTTCAAGAGTCTCTCTGACAGCTTGATTTGTCAAAATTAATACTGCTTCCTGGTACGCGCGCGCACTAAAATTACCGTTTGGTGGTCTAACATGACCTGGCCTCTAATAGGTTAAGGGCCTTTTTTGACTGGTATTATCAACATGGTGTAGTAGTCTGGAACTTCTAGTAGCGTTGACCAAACCACACACTAGGAAGTGAAGAGACGACGACGTTTCGGTCCATCCTGGACCATTATCAAGTCGTGTGTCAATCTAGTAGTAGTAGTCGATTCTAGAAGTGGCAATCATGGGTCCTACCAGTCTACGCCATGCAGTCAGGAGGACCGTAATCATATTAAATTTTGCCCCGAGAGGCGAGTTTATTGGGCAGCGCCACTCATCTTGTGAGTGGACACACCGCCATAGCAGCATGTACAACACTCCCCAATAGGAAGAAAACTCGCTGGGTTATTCATCCTGTCACACCATATATAAAAAAAATTGACGTGACTTTTATGTTTAATTATTAGGTTTAACTTACTATTAAGTAATATTAGCCAGCAGTGTCAGTGTTTGGTAATTATGAGCAGAATTGGTATTGTTTTCTATAGTGTTAAACGTCAAATGACGGGTCAGTGTGATTTCTTATGTCAGTTAACATGGCTACCGGTCCAATGGCTTAGAAGCAGGAACAATTGGGCAGAGTGAAGAGAAAGCCCTGGTTAGGTAAAATAATATGGTAATAGTCGGAGGTTTGGACGGATTGGTGATAGGTAGACAATGGTATGACAAACGTAACAATTTTGAGAGGAAGAAATGGACACTGGGAAGCATGTAGTGATAGTAAAATAAAGTGTGAAATGTCATGGAGAGATGTGGTACAAGAGTTAACTGCAAGATTGAGAAAAGAATACCCAGCTCGTTTAGAAATGTTTAGTAAATGGATGAGGGTATATTGGTGAAATATTAAAGTGAATTAGACGGGAAATAAGACTGAAAGATAGGCAGACAGTGCGAAAGCGGGAAGCGGACAAAACTACAAGATATAGCAAGGGACAAGGCTTGGTGGAACTTGTAAAAAGGGGCAATAGACCTGGAGTCAGAATACTTGGCTCCATCTCTCTCATGGGTACCTTATTCTCCGTTTACTACTGTAAGCCGTTTGTGTCCTGAAGCACTACAAGCTCGACAACCCGAGTTCATTACTGTGATCTGGAGGACTCTGGTTGTCCCCTCTGCGCTCAGAAGTCCTCCAGAGCACATTCATAAACTGAGGTTGACGATCTTTCAGCACTTTTGTAGTGCAAATGGTTTACTGTAGTAAATACTGAGCCCCTATGCTCGAGGTAAGTACAGGTCTGTAGTTAAGCAAGTTATGAGTGAATTGAACTAATTTCTAATGACGTTCTTTAGGAAATAAATTTAATATTTAATTTTTCAGTTATATTTTTGTCCACCGTCATGACCATGGAAACTTTGTATTTTATAAATTACGAAAACGTGCCGAAACTATTCAGTGTACATAATGGCTAATTTTACTCTATTCTCAGGTGCTTGTGTCCTGCAGTTTGGATATACAAGAATGCGAAACGTTGCCGTCCAGTTGGGTGGGTGTGGAGCAAGATTAGTAACTGACTCGCCATTGATGTAAACTGCCTTCTGTAGAGACTGTGAGCTTGTTCTTGTGATACAAGAAGACTTGATATGCATGTATAGGGATGTGTACACATGTATTAACAATTGTGTAACTAGTTTCACAGGGTTGTTACTTAGCTAAACGAACTATGGGGTTCAGTCGTGAACCCCATGTGTGTGTGTAACCCTTTCCACCACCGCCCACGGGATGGGTATGGGGTGCATAATAAATAAAAACAAGTCCAATTTGTTTTAAATTTAACATTTTCACCAAATTTGTCAAGTTAATACAACCTTCGTTTTTATCACTTGAACATTTTCGCATTTTGTTCAATTGAACATGTTCGCATTTTGTTCAATTGAACATTTTCGAATTTTGTTCAATTGAACATTTTCGAATTTTGTTCAATTGAACATTTTCACATTGGTTTTCAAGCAATCTTCGTTTCCTTCCATTTAAGATTTTGAATGTGTTCAATTGAACATTTTTCGAATTTGTTCAATTGAACATTTATCGAATTTGTTCAATTGAACATTTTCGAATTTGTTCAATTTAACATTTTCGAATTTTGTTCAATTGAACATTTTCACATTGCTTGAAAACCAATGTGAAAATGTTCAATTGAACAAAATTCGAAAATGTTCAATTGAACAAATTCGATAAATGTTCAATTGAACATTTTCACATTGGTTTTCAAGCAATCTTCTTTTCCTTCCATTTAAGATTTTGAATGTGTTCAGTTGAACATTTTTCGAATTTGTTCAATTGAACATTTTTCGAATTTTGTTCAATTGAACATTTTCACATTGGGTTTCAAGCAATCTTCGTTTCCTTACATTTAAGATTTTGAATTTGTTCAATTGAACATTTTTCGAATTTGTTCAATTGAACATTTTCGAATTTGTTCAATTTAACATTTTCGAATTTTGTTAAATTTAACATTTTCACATTGCTTGAAAACCAATGTGAAAATGTTCAATTGAACAAAATTCGAAAATGTTCAATTGAACAAATTCGAAAAATGTTCAATTGAACACATTCAAAATCTTAAATGGAAGGAAACGAAGATTGCTTGAAAACCAATGTGAAAATGTTCAATTGAACAAAATTCGAAAATGTTCAATTGAACAAATTCGAAAAATGTTCAATTGAACACATTCACATTGGTTTTCAAGCAATCTTCGTTTCCTTACATTTAAGATTTTGAATGTGTTCAATTGAACATTTTTCGAATTTGTTCAATTGAACGTATTCAAAAATTGTTCAATTGAACAATTAAAAGAAAGTTCAATTGAACAAAGTCGAATGTTCATTTAAACATTTTCGAAAATGCTCATGTTCAATGAAATTCGGTTCACAATGTTAATGAAAATGTGGAATGTTCAATTGAATATTCCACATTTGTTTTCAAGCAATGTATGCAATGTTTCCTCTAATTTAAGATTTTCTGATTTTTTTCAATTTACCATTTTAATTTTTTCAAGCAGATCATTCAATCTTCGTGTTGTTCAACTGAACATTTTTCAAATATTTCATTCAATCTGCATTTTGTTTGCAAATTTAAATTTGTAATTTTAATGCATCTAATGTTTTTAATCTGAAATGATTTGAAATTTAAAAAAAAAAAAAAAAAAAAAACTTGAGCATAAAAGTAAGCAATTATCAAAAGAAGGCACCAAACCGGGAAGGCTATGTAGCACCATCAAATGTGCGGATTAATCAGAGGGCGCTAAATATCACCAAGGATGCCAATACGAGAACAAAAACGCATAAGGCGAACGATATCAAAAGTATCCGAGTCACCAAGAATTCTATCGAGGGACAGGTGACCGCGAGGGGCGGTCGGAAAGCAAGACACACGCTCGTCCTGGAAGTCAGGACATTCAAGAAGGACATGCACGACCGTAAGAGGGACAATGCAACTAGGACAATAAGGAGCAGGGCGGCGCTCCATCAAGTGACCATGGGTTAAGCGAGTATGGCCAATACGCAACCTCGCCAGAGCCGTTTCCCAACGCCGGTTATGGTTGTTGGAGGACCGCCACGAGGAAACACAACATTTAAGAGTACGTAGTTTGTTACCAGTAACAGACGACCAAGAAGCCTGCCAACGGGTAAGGAATGAGGAATGGATAACCGGGTAAAAGTCGGAATATGGAATACCTTTACGAGAGATGGGACAAGAACGGACAGCCTCCCTGGCGGCAGCATCTGCACGCTCATTTAAAGAGCCGACTTAAATTTACTGTGAACAAGAAACAACCAATGTTGGATCTAGACAACCACGGGATGAACTGGATTAAAGGACCCGAGAGCCATAAGGGCACTTCGAGAGTCAACAACAACTACAAAGGAAGACTGACAACGAGAAAGCAGGAGGCGAAGAGCAGAGAAAATAGCATAAAGCTCCGCTGTGAAGATGCTAGTTTCCAGAGGTAAGCGGCACATACAAGTGCAATCAGGAACAACCAGTAGCCAACACCGTCCGCAGACTTAGACCCATCGGTGAAGACGGAAACGGAGCGGGAGTGAGAAGAAAAGTGCTCAAGGAAAAGGCGTTTTAGAACCGTAGGAGGGGTAAAAGCTTTAGTGATGCGTGTACAACTGTAAGAGGGACAATGCAGTTAGAACAATAAGGAGCAGGGCGGCGCTCCATTAAGTGTTCGCGAGTTAAGCGCGTATGGCCAATACGCAGCCTCGCCAGAGTTGTTTCCCATCGCCGGTTACGGGGGTAGGAGGAAGGCCACGGACACACTACCCTTAAGAGTATGCAGTTTGTTACCAGTAACAGAAGACCACAACCCTGCCAACAGGCAAGGATGGATGAATGAATAACTGGGTACGTCAGAATAAGGAATACACACATCAAAACGACTATTGCTCTACACAGTTGTGGGCCGGAGGGATCGCCACATTCCCTTGTCTTGAATGAAAACTTAATTTACTGTACACAATAAAATATCGAATAACATCAATATTCCATATTGTATAATGAATAGCTTGAACTCTATTGAAAAATACTTGAAGTTTTCATTAAAATAAGCAAGATCAAAAAGTTGTTTAAAAAATCAGTTGTAGCTGTGTATTCATCGCCCTCCCCTTCCTGTACAGTGCTCCAAGACCAGCTATTCGAAATTTAGATTTAAACATGGCATCTAAAGGCCAAGCAAAATATTTAACTTGCTTTAGTGTTCAACTAAGCTGATGTACATAAGAGGATGTTAAAAAATAGTGTGTAAACAATATTTAAAAATGTATAAATTATCCTCAAATTATAAACTAATTTTGCAAACAATTAAGGAACAGTCAGTTTATTCCACATTCTTAGAATTTTAGTATAAAATTGCAGTATATATTTGCTCTTCCATAACCCATATTTTTTTCTTACTATATTACAAGTGTATCCACTTTGGTGTGCGCTGCGCCCTCATCATTAGCAAGGGCTAATTTAATTGTGGTTTAAGAGCTGTCATCCTGTCCTCATGACCCTTACAAGTGCAATATTATACTAGATTACCACCATTATATTTAAAATTGTTGCAATTTAACAAATTATCAAGAGGCACCAAGCCAGGACAATTTAAACCAGACATTTAAGTAAATTAAAAACACATCCCAGAATAATTAGAGCCATGTTATCAGGAACTGATCCTTTTTCACTAACATCGTGGAATGCAGTGTTCAGTGCTCCAAGCCGGAAAGATGTACTGTATTCTACTGAAAAAGAAAAAATTAATAAATTAATAAATTTGTTAACCATAGCATAGCTGCTGCAGCTAACTTCCTGGCGCTACCACCACAAACTCCACCAGACCAAGTTGCTTACAGGAGAGTAGTAACTACTGTGCCACTCCCATTTAGTCATCAGAAGTTTAGTACGTGTGTGTTCCTAACAATGTGGTGGTCAAGAATGGGGTCAACAGGATTCGGGGACTATTCTTGTATTTCTAATTCGCATCCCCTACTCCACCAAATCCATTGATTTGGTGAAGTGAGTAGGGGATGAGTAGTGAACAGTGGTCAGAATGTATTGAGAAGTATACAGAAATACTGGACATTTATATCGAGCACTGGGTGATGAGGACAATATAGGTTAACTATTTTCTGATTCAGTCTTGGGTATTTTTATTGTAATTCAAGGGCTTACAAAAACTTGTACTAATGATCATACAAGGTTTGTAAGAAGTTCCATGTCTTGCACTAACAGACGAGAAGAGCTTGCTGGCCGGTTCAAGTTAAATAATGGACTCTTCAAAAGTCTGCTCCAGTCAAGTTTCTCGTATAGGCTTAATTCCAAAACACTTCCTACCGAGCGCGGCTCCTTTAACACTTGCGTAATCTACACTCTGAAAAATGTGTAACTTGTGGAACTTGCATAAAGACTTCGGCTGTGAAATACTTAAATGCTCAACATGTCACCTGTGTGTGCACCTGTGTAATTTTTTTTAAATCACCGGTGGATGGGGGGGGGGGATTATTTAACACATTGTTCATGGTCCTCGTTCAATCTGGAAAAGAAGGAAGAGGTATACCAGTGAACTCTAAAAAGGATATAGGGACTGGGCACTTAATCCTCCTCCCCCACCCATCCCCACCTGAGTAGACAGAGCACTAAACCTACACCCAAAATCAGAGGGGAACATGGGGGCACCAAACCCCCCAACGCACCAGAGGAAATGGTAAAGGCATTGAAAGCAGCCCGTGCTCGCGAGCGATCGCAACATCAAGAAACTGTCGTACTAATATGCCTTATCCTAACCTACCAGAGGACCCATGAAAAAAACGGGACATTGTGTCAATTTCGCCAGCCGCTACTACTTTCTACTAACAGTTTTTGGCCTTAGATAAAAAAAAATATTAGAACGAAAAAAACCTCCCCCACCGCCATAGGGACGAGGAGGGCACAGAACTATCACAAGAGACTTACAAAATTTCCTGAGCCAAGCATAAAAGTACTCTGGAGGCACCAAAATTACCGTACGGGGGTATTCTCGTCTCCTAACTCCCCTTGCCACTTCGGGGGGGGGGGGGGGTGTTTATGTAGCTTCAGGGCACCAATCCCCCCAGCCACAGGGCATGGCGAGAAGGCACCCCTAAGCATACCTAATACCCTATCAAAACACAAACTAAAATACACATAAATGGCAGATCTCATCAACCCACAAGAGTTAAGATGATACTAATAACACACAATACTAACCTGAAAAACAAACATGATTAAGTCGAGGATAGTTTGGCGTGTATTCTCCTGTGTCGCAAGCGATAGAGTACCAAGCACACACTGTGGTATCCAGGTTGGACCGCAAAGTGTACAGTGATCTGCAAAAATAAAATTTGTAAATAGAAAATACAAAATTTCTTATTAATGGTCGTCTACCTTTCCACTTACGTATTTCACTAACCTATACATTTCTGGACTTTTAGGCACGTACGCGCGTGTGCATGTACTCCTCCCACACTCGATATCAACACTGGTATGGACCTGGTAGTACATTACCTACTCTCTCATACCTGTACATCAATGATCTAGCAAATGCCCCACACAACCTTAACCCAGGTACTCTTTGTTAGTTATACTATTTTATCAAAGACCCAATTAACCTGAAAGTAAATAGAACTCAAAAATGTCTAATGTGGCCAACAAAACAGCGCTTAACATTAAACAAACTATTTCTAAATAAATCAACCAATGAATAAATAAATCCATGAATAAACACTATCCAATTTGAGAGCAAAAGGGGAAATTCATTGGCATAAACAATTTAAACTTAATTGCAGTACAAAAAAATTAGGACACTAAAATCAGCTTTGTAACTCACCGGCCAGATAAATTATTCACTTTCCAATCCATACATCACCCGAAGTGCGCGCGCACCTGAGAGTTTACGACTCAATTACTCTAAACAGATTAGCAATTAGAACTAAACTAAGATTGATTGATGAAGATAAGTCACCCAAACGGTGGCACGGGTATGAATAGCCTGTAAAACTCCTAGTTAGCATCTGTATTAAAGTCCTCTTACATCCTATATAAAAGAGATATCAACGAACTCTGCATTACGGGCTATTCATGCCCGTGTCACCTCTTGGGTGGCTTAATCTTCATCAATCAGAACTCAGCATCCACTGTCATGTGCCAGAAACAATCGAACACCATCTCCTTCACTGTTTCCGACATAGTGCCAGAGAAAACTTCAAACAAGTATTTATCGCACTTAATTAAAATACCTTTTACCATCGAGCATATATTATGAGGTGACCTATCATTACATGATAAATATCACAATAGTCAAAACACTGGCTAAATATCTCCAGTCGACCAACACATTGGGCCACATTTATACCTGCCGCCACCAGCAGCCAAACACAGAAAACAAATGCCTGGCCGCAGCACCAAGGATCAGCTGACGCCATAAACACAACACACCGTCCTACAGTGCGGCAAGTCTCCCTCTAACCCACGCCTCTCTAGTCGCCGCTCCTCTATCTACACCACAACACTTGAAACCTCGTCATTCTCAACATTAACGCGTCTCCCAACATTTGTACTGGTACAGTCATCGGGACGTTATCTTGAGATGATTTCGGGGCTTAGCGTCCCCGCGGCCCGGTCCTCGACCAGGCCTCCTTTTTGTTACACACCCCAAGGAAGCAGCCCGTGACAGCTATAACTCCCAGGTACCTATTTACTGCTAGGTAACAGGGGGCCATCAGGGTGAAAAACATTTTGCCCATTTGTCTCCACCAATACAGGGGATCGAACCCAGAACCTCAGGACTACGAATCCGAAGCGCTGTCCACCCAGCTGTCAGGCCCCTACTAGGATAAACCCTTCATGTAAATTACACGTACCATCAAGAAGATAAAAACGATGCACATTTTCAAGTCTTCAATATTATAGTACAATTACCACCCCTGATCTTAACAGGACTTTAACAGAACCCAAAGACGCCACACGAAAAACTAATATTTATGATATTCTAAAACTCGTATTTAAACCAAAGCATATATGCCATATAAATGGTTCTAAGTTGTGGAACTACTTCCCAAATGAAGTAAACCGCTATATTTTGTTTAACCAATTTAAGAGAAAACAGTACCTAATATTATATAGTAATATATAATGCTTGCATAAAGTATAACAAATATAAGTCTATCAGCCTAATAAAGCCAGTTGTGTTCGCTACCGTTAGTATTAAGTACTGAAAATAGTCATTTTAATACATACTGCCAAAGCTATTTAATAATCAACATATCTGAATTACTCAAACATTTTCTTGGATATTAAACTATGCGATTTCACTGTACAAAGTATTTACTTAATTTCCAAAATGTCATTTAAATTCTTAATGTAAATCAAGACCTGATAGAATACCGTGCCATCGAAACGCATGGGCACATTGCTGGGCAGAAGCCCCCAGGGGCCTCAAGATTGTGTAAGTGACCCCCCCCCCCATGCTGCTGCTGCTGCTGCTGCTGCTGCTGCTGCTGCTGCTGCTGCTGTTAAGAGACCCCTTGGCAGGATGGATAATTACTCTCGCGCAGGAAAGGCCTGGGATACGAATGCCTTTTAACTTTTATTTATAATGTATATGATCTCCAAAATCCTGTACTTTGGTGGACGGGCGTGGCCCACCATCTGGTTAAGGGGGGCCCCAGTGCATTGATTTCTCAAGGGCCTGTAATGCTGATGAAGACTGCCCAGAGGATTAGTGTCAAACAATTACATGAACCCATTTAAAAGTCAACAGTAAGAAAAGTACCATTATAAAATGTCACAGCAGGGAAACATTCAACTGGCTAATGAGATTAACCTTTAAATCCAAACCCACTTATAAATGACCGTTAGTAAGCGTAACGAGAAATAACGGACAGATTGCAATAAGGGAGCTAAATGGCTCGAGGGGGAAAGACATGACTGCGCACTAACAGATATAAAAGTACTCACAAATGAACAAATCCACAAGGGCCGTGACGAGGGTTCGAACCTACGTCCGAGAGGATCCCAGACGCTGCCTTAATTGACTGAGCTACGACATGGTAAAAAGAATTGCACAAGTTTTGTGCAATTCAGTTGTGCGTTAACTGAAACAAATGTTTCAGTTAACGATCATAACGGTAAACAAAATTACCAGGCTAATAGGCATTATGAGGAGCATGAGGAATATAGTTAAGGAATGACTTACCTGTGGAATATATCCTAGAGGACCCGCAAACTTGAGACAAGTGCGAGGAACTAGCTGACGTGGTCCGCTTAAACGACAATGGAGGGGGGAGGGAATTAACAGGGAAAAGCGCCAAACAGGGTGGGTGGAGGGGGGGGGAGAGCGCCAAACAGGGTGGGTGGGGGGGATTTAACGGGGGGGGGGGAAAAAGCCAAGCAGGGAAGGGTGTGTCAGGTGCGTGTCAGCTTATAATGTCCGTGTCCAGGAGATAATGTGACCAATACGTAGGCTAACTAGATACATTAACCACCTTCCTAATTTGGAGGAGGAAAGGCCACAAGGATGTCATATTTAAAAGTATGCAATTTGGTATTCATAGCGGCTAACTGTTCGACGGTTGCTGCTCTTTTATCAATGACAGGTTAGAACTCCCAACGTGGGTATTCACTTCCCGGAGATGGGACAGTTATGATCACGAGCAGCATCTGCCTAGGTCATCAGCGGCCCAGCAAACCTGAAATGTTATACCCGATAGAGAGGAGATGCAACCGATGTTTACTGGTCATAACCATGAGTAGGGGGTTCACAGCCGCCAGGGTCATGGAAACACTTGCCACAACATCACGCTAGCCATCGTCGGCACCTGCTGGAGTGTAGCGGTCAAGGATCTTTTGTAAAGATCTACAGTAAAAATGCTTCTCTCTTGTAAAGATCTACAGTAAAAATGCTTCTCTTGGGGCGGGAAGGCGTAGCAAAGCTTTTATCAAGAAAAATGAAAGCGAACTCTTTCGGCAAGTTGTGTTTTTGCACAAGTTAAGAAAAGTTTTAAGTGCTATCTAAAAATATTAAATTTAAGATAACTTGTTATATTACTTCATTTTTGTTGTTTACCTGTATCTTACAAAATAGAGAAAATTTATGGTGAAACTCCCACTTTTAAGAAGAAATATACGATCTTTGTTTCATGTGTGCTGTACGAGTTAATTGAAATTGCCAATTTTTAGATAACTCTTGCTTGGTGCCCTTTGATAATTAAATATTAGCGGCCTCATTTTAAGAATCGTACATATTAGTGACGAGTTGAGATAATTACGCCCTCTAATGTTCATGACGTTCAGAGAACTAAATGAAACTGTGGTTAGATCTCAAATTTACGCGTCATGAGGCTGTTAGTTGCAATATATCCGTGCTGCATATAGCCTGAAAACGAATTTTCCTTCCACCATATTTAGGAATTTAGAGATGGAAGGGCAGAGAGCAACGTCATGATGTGGAGGTTAATGGGTGGAGCGAATATGGAGGGAGGATGTAGGAGAGCCTTCTCCTTACCGTCAATAACTTTGATAAAGGGACAAATTAAAGTAGTTTCACCCGTAGCATAACCAGGTAAAGAGCCTAAAGGTTACCTCGCAAAACTAATCGAACCCCCATTTCTCCCTCGTACGTTTTCAGAGCTATATATACGCCCGCCCTACAAGTAGGAGTTTTACGGGCTATTCATGCCCGTGCCACGTCTTGGGTGGCTTAATCTTTATCAATCAATCAAGTATGAGTTTATATGTATGCTAGCCTTATACGTTCTTCAACTGCCTTAGAGCAGAGAAATGTGTGTTTATGGACAATTGAAGGACTTCAACAAAATCCTCGGTGACTAACAGTGAAGCTTGGGACGTGGTTTACAGTCAGGTCACCGACCATAACCCAAGTTCTTGCCTAGTCATCCTAGTCTTGTCTAGCATGGGATAAACTCAAGTACATGCACAAACTGCAATATAGCACCATACCCTTTGCAAACGACACTGATGTTTTTTGAAGTAGACAATAGATGAGACGGCAAACTTAACTCAGTGGGCCACAGGACACGTTTAATGAAGACAAATTCCAGCTCCTGCAATATGGAAAAAAATTATTAAATCACACGAAAGAAAAAATATATATAAAAGACTATGGGAGTAATATCGGAAGACCTTGTGTTCTTTAAAAGTGTCAGTCACAAGAAATATTGATAGGTTGGATAGTCTTTCAAACGAGGTGGTAAACCAATAATGGTACTGCACTTAAAGAAACTAGTGCTCTATTGAGGAATATTTATGCATAATAACAGCCTATTCAAAGCTGGAAAACGAGCAAAAATCTTTTACTGCTGGAATCCACTATAAAACATTAAGCTATTGGTACCGCTTAAGTATTACCTAGAGCGCTGGTGAGAATGTATTTACACTGAAAATATTTGAGACTGGTTCAAACTCTGGCAACCCCTTCTCAGGGCTTGTGTACCTCCGTGGTAATCACATCCAAATACGTTTGCATTACCTTAATGGTTCCAAACAGCATTGTTTTATTAGTAATTTAATGTACTTAAGGCACTTTATCGACACCCTTTGTGTCTGATTAGGTTACAAAAATAGAAGGAAAATTCACCAAGTACTTAGTACTTTACTAATTGTAACCCGAGGACGGGCTGCTATGTTAAAGCCTGGGTATATAATAATCTCAAATTGTAACCGTTTAAGATAAAGGTTCAATTTGCCAGTTGTCTAAGATTATTAATGGAACATTAATAAGTATCCAGACGGTTTAAACACAGGATGGACACTAACTGGGCCTATTTATTATAATCAAAATGCCCAGTTCATCAATATATTATCTAAATAGTAAAATATACTAAAAACCAAGTGTACTTTGTGTTTAATGAACTAACCTGACGATGGCATGAAGTCTGCAGACGTACCACCACACGAGACCAGGAGGAACGGCGGGAAGTGCACAATAGCCTCGTTGACAAGCAGACGTGCAACAGATACCCCGAGAATTCTATCAACTCCTAGGGCTCCAGAGACCGTGCCGCGAAGACGTGAATCTTCTGAACTAACGCAAATTAAGTGCCATGACAGGCGCTTCCATATCGCGTGGACTGATACCAGTCACCATGGAAGCATTCCACGGCACAGGCGTAATCTATCAACGATACAATGCACTGTATGAACCATATGTGCTCCGTTTCTTTTATTAAGGTAACAAGACTGGTGATACTGTGATGTTTGAATATTGCCTACACCACCTGGATTTAGTGCTATAGTTTATGTAGCAAGATTGGAGAAACTATAGTACTGGAATATTTGTCACCACCTAGAGGGGGTGACAAATGGTGGTGACCACCATTTTGAGGCCTGGTCGTGGACCGGGCTGCGGGGACGATAAGCTCCGAAATCATCTCGAGATAACTCGAGAGTTACTGCTATTTACATTATATCACCAGCCTTACCAAAATGGTACGTTTTTTCATTCAATTCCATACAAGCTCAACACCACCCCTAGACCTCAGTTACTCTGAAAATACAAAACATGGAGGACACTGCTGACTTGCCATTGAACCTTAATAACAATAACAATTTGCTACCCACATTAACATTTTGTTTTGCACACACAACTTACACGGGCCTCGTGGAATGACACTGGGTCTACACACTATTTACATTCAATAGTTGATGAATCTGCCCAGAGGCGAAACTTGCCCACGTCCTCTCTGGTCGTCGGTCAGCGTAACACTAACTCGCCTCCCGCTAATTGCTCAACTTCCGGCGCCTCAGTCAGGATTCACTGGCAACAACGAAGCAGCAGCGACCTGTCCTTTCAGCTGTCTTTTTCTTTTCGATGGACTCATTGAACTTGTCCATCATTTTCCAGCCCATCGTCAAGAATAAAAGACCGTCAATTTCAAAAGACATTGGTCAAGGATTGACATTAAATTCTACAAACGTCAGTATTTGACTTGTAATTAGAGTCTACCGTGTTCGAAGTTTTCACTCGAGACTTGCTTCATTCACTGTTCATGTCTCGTGTTGAGTCGTCCATCGTGCAGAGGGAAGGGCTGAACCCTCGTGTCTACTGCAGATATGTCGACGACATTTTCGTCGACAAAATATCCGAACGAAAATTAATAATAGTCACAATGCTGTTGTTTAATGATATATTATATATATATATTATATATATATACTGGTATTGTTTTTATGTAATTGTCAACAGTATAATGCATGTTAGTGCAGCAACAAAGCGTTATTTACATCTTGTTAAAAATTATTGAAAAATGATTCATATAGAGAGCGTATGTATGTATACATATGAACTGTTGCAGTAATATGTATGAATGGCTTTAGGAATATGGATGGAGGGGGGGAGGATGCCATGAATATGGATAAGGGGGCTAAATTAACATATAATAGTGGCGTCATACATATACACAAGAGATGCCATTAATATGCGAGGTGCTTCGTGCAATTTGTATGTTTTTTTTACTATAATGTACGAAAAATAATTGTCAAAAGAAAGCACCAAGCCGGGAAAAACTGTGTATTACATGCACTACACTGACTTCATAACACAGTACACAGCGCTGTCTGTGTTGTGGGATTTTCGAAAGGTCCTAAATATCGCCCTGGAAGCCAATACGAGAGCAAAACGGCATACAGCAAGCGACATCAGAGGTATCGGATTCAGGCATTCCATGGAGGAACAGGCGACTCTGAGCAATATTACGAAAGCAAGACTTCCGATCCTTCTGAAAATCATTGACATTCTGTGATTGGGTGCTCGACTGTGGGACAATACAGTTCCGTCAATATGGATCAGGGCGTTGCTCTATTAAATGCGTGTGGCGATGCAGTCTAGTGAAGGCGGAGCAATTTCCCATCATTTACGCTAGTACGAGGAATGTCATGGGGGAAAGAGTACGACATGAGCTGGAATCGAGGCTGTTGTTGTTGTTTAAGATTCGCAACTTGGAACAAAAAGTTCCAAGTAGTACGGGCTATGGTGAGCCCGTTGTGGACTTACCTGGCACAGGAACTGGGACGGTGGTGTCCCTGAGGAATCGAGGCGTTGTGGAGATCTCACAGTGTACCGAAGGCAGTACCGATCGCGTCTCAACAGACGTACACTAAGCTCAACAGAGTCCTAGACGCAACAGACAGACGTCGACACTCACGACGAGCGTCACCGTTATATCAAATGCCACAACTCGGGTGATTGTGACCGAATCCTCCGTATTCACAACCCCGGGTCATCAAACCTTGCTCTGCCTTTATCAAAACTTCATGGCGACCTTAATTCTTTGACATTTGGAGGTGAGTTTATCCCGTGACCTTTGGGGTGACTTTCAAACACAATATTACAAACTCTCAGACCAATAATCACCTACTCTAGTGATATATACAAAATTGTCGATTCTGTCGTGAGGAACATCAGTTTGGGATTGTTTATTCCCAGAATGTTCAGTGTCTGTACCTGTTAGTGTCGTGTATTACACTTCGATATAAGAACTTTTATTATTTGGGATTATCCTAGACTTGAACACTGTGCTGTGTGTACACCTTCGTATAAATGTACTTGCTGGGGGGGAGGGGGGTGAAGTTTAGGTATTAAGCCCCGCCTTTCGAGGATTAATAGCTTAATGGTATGACTATTCACTCATTTTTCTCGTCATATTTACATTAAAAAAATGGGAGTTCAGTTAGCTTCAGCAACTTTGTAATTAAATACATTTCGTATATTTAAAACCCTTTAAGCTGAAGTTCGTTCTGGCATATCTGCGATTTATTTGGAAGAGGGGAGGACGAGGGTTGGGGGGGGGGGAGAAAATAAAAGAACAAGATAAAAGACAAAGTTGACAGATACAAAAGGACATTTTCAGAGTTGTTTAAAGTTGTTTTAGTGCTTCTTAATAATACATTTTCTGAGAGTAGGGGGAGATGGGGGAGGGGGGGGAGCAGCAGGGAGGAGAAAGGTTGATGAGTGGGTTAAAGGGAAGGGGGGGGGGGGGAGGAATGGGATGAAGAGTGAGGAAAGGGTGGAAATAGGATGGAAGAGACCCGGGGTACAGCCGGATACCCCCTTTCTATACAGCATACATATACCCTGTATTCTCTTCTCTGAGGCTATGGGTCCCTACAATTGTACCAGAGGTGATACCCCCCCCCCCCTCTCTCTCTCTCTCTCCCTCCTGGCTAGAGGTAGGGAAGGGAGAGAAGAGGACACAAACAATAAAGCACATATTATTCGTACACAAAATATTAAGTCCTATAAATAAAATTCGATCATCTTTCTGACTCGGCTGTAACTATGCCTGGAAGCAAAAACAAACAGAAGCGTGTTTCGAGTTTAAAGATCGGCAGCCTCATGCATGATTCTAGTTTAACAAATAGTTCAATCCCGTAGAGCTCGCCAAACAAATCTGATTAAGGTTGGGACGGGATGGTTGGCGGGAGTTTGGATTATTGCTGTAAAATCGCCAATATTGTTTTATCGGTTGCAACAACAACAAAAAGTTCGTTCGTTTTCATTGACTTTCGAAATGTCAGGTTAATTGTGGCAAATTGAGCTGTTGTTATTTGATTAGGATGAGGCAGGAAATGTTGAGATTCTGAGGGTGAGTGTCCCCCTCCCCGGGTGTTTCATCGAACACACCTTAGGATGAATGACCTTATTAACTAGTCTTGTGCCTTCACAACTACTAGTGCTCGGTGACTCTTGCCTTCAGACACTACCATTGTAGGCGTTGTGCCCCTGGGACCCCACACCACCTGACCCCACCCTGACCTGAGGCTCATGGGGGGTAGAAATAGCCTAAGCTACTCTATCCCTGTAAGATGTATTTTTTTCTTGTCTCAATAAACATACTTGAACCTGAGGCTCAACGCTATCCTGATGGCCACCTGACCTGGGGGGTAGACCTCACGCCTCAGGCTAACCTTATCACTGGAGAGGATCACATTCTATAAATACCTGAGTAACCTCTCGTCCTACTCACCTTCCATGTTGGGAGTTGATTTAGGGAACAAATCACCGGGTAACATTAGTGTTATCGCCCCAAATGATCGACAAATTTGACCAAGGTGTTATCGCACACAAAATGTAATTACTAGTAAAGTAGGGAGATGGATCTTTTAACTTCCTAACAAACATAACACAGAGTGTTATAGTCAACACAGTAAAATCCGCATCATTCACCGTGAAAACCTCAGTCCCTCGGGGTACTGTGCTCGCTCAGGTACTTTTCCTCATCCTCATAATGATAATATAGACAAAGATACAAACAATAGTACCGTATCATCCTTGGCAGATGAGACTAGGATTTTCATGAGAGTAGACAATATAGAGACACAGCAAACCTGATGTTAATCAGGTCTCCCAATGGACCACAGAAAATAACATGTTTAATGAGGATAAGTTCTAGTTACTGCGCTATGAAAAAAAACGAAAATTCAAAACAGAAACCACATATAAAACGTAGACAACCCCCATTATTGAAAGAAAAAACAATGTAAAAGAAATTTTGGAATAATCATGTCGGACCTTTCTTTCAAAGAACACAATAAAATAGCTGTCATAACTGCAAGAGAAATGTGCTACACTACACACAGAGATCACACTAATTGGATTGGATTGCAAGAACCTTTCAAACAAGAGATGCCATACCAATGATGATACTCTTCAAGACACTAGTGCTCTCTAGAGTGGATTACTGTTGCACACTAAGAGCCCCATTCAGAGCTGGAGAAATTGCTGACCTAAAGAGCATGCAAACTAAATTATTGGGATCGTTTAAAAAATATATATCTGTATTCTCTAGAGCTCAGGCGGGGGAGACAATAATTTACACCGGGAAAATACTAGAAAGACTGGTTCCAAATCTGTACATGGAAATAACACCACACGAGACCAGGAGGCATGGCAGGATGTGCAAAATAACTTCGTTGACAAGCTGAGGTGCAATAGGTACGTTGCGAGAGAATTCTGTCAACATCAGAGGCCCAAGTCTTTTCAACACACTCCCTCTATACATAAGGGGCATAACTGGCACACCGCTCACAGTGTTCAAAAGAGATATTGATAAACCCCTTCAAAGAATACCTGATCAACCAGGATGTGACTCACGTTAGGCTGCGAGCAGCCGCGTCCAACAGCCTGATTGACCACCAACCACGAGGCCTGGCCAGTGACCGGGCCGCGGGGTTCGTTGATCCTCGGAATCATCGAAAGGTAAACGAAATGTATGCTTAGACATAGGCATCAATGAATTTGCTTGCACATCAATAGGAGCTGCCTCGCATGGACCAATAGAACCTCTGCATGTTGTTTCAGATTTAGCTATTCGGAACTAACATTTCCATGTACCACGGGCTATGGTGAGCCCGTAAACGTATGCCATTTCCATCATGGATTATTTTGTATTTTGGCACGTGACTTAGAAATCACACCACCTGATACGGCCCCTCTCAGTGCGGCGGGTCAAGACTCGGGACCCACACCAGAAAATACTTTAGTGTAACACCACCCTCGCGCCGTGTTCTCCTGGTGGCTTATTGTTTTCTTCCGTATTTTCGTTACAATTACTGAATGACATTAATGGTTCTGTTAGCTAATTTGAACAGACCTAATATTTGAGTCACGACATTAGTAGTTCGAGGTGCACCATCAGGAACTCCTTCAACACCAGTAGGTCTGCAATAACAGCCACATCTGTAGCAGCAGCACCAACATGCGAGCAATGTTAACAGCAAACATAAAAAGTAGTGCAACATCAGTAACAGTATCTTTAACAGCATCAGCAGCAGCAACAGTGGCTCAGGAGTAGCAGCAGCAGACGGGCCCCAGGCTGCGTCCTCCATGAATACCAAGTAGTGCCCTCTGGTGAGGCCATCTCCCACACCATCACGGGGAGGGAGAGAGGGCGAGGGAGTTGATCTGGTGAGGGGGGGGGGATAATAGGAGGTAAGGGGAGATGGAAAGAGTGGCTGGGGAAGAAGAAATTGTATGGGATGGAAGGGTAATTGAGGAAGGAGGAGAGAGGAGGATTGAAAACTACGAGAACGTGGTTAGAATAAAGGGTAGTTAAGTGGTGACAAAGGATAAAAGGAATTAAGAGAATATATGGAGAAAGATGATGGAGCGGGAAATGAAAGGCGAGGATGGAAA